TAAGAAATAGCTAGTAAGTATAAAAAATATTTTTTAATCTAGACTTATCTAACAGTTAAGTATAATTAATATTCTATTAGTTACTAGAAACTATAAGAGTAGCTATATATAAATTTTATCTAATAACTTAATTAATTATTCTTAGATTTACTTTTAATTTAAAATATATAGTCTATAAGATAATCTAACAGCAATAAGATTAATTATTTATTTAAATTAAATATATTTAATAATTTAAAAAGACAGATAGCAGGTAATAATAAATCACAGAACTTAGTTAAGAAATTTTTATTTAGTATAGATAGTTATAAAGCCCTAAAAAATTAAAGCTTTTAGTATAAAATAAATAAAAGAAAAACAGATATTCTACCAGTTTTTTACTTAGTATCTAAGCTACTATTTATTTAGAAGGCATAGAAGATAATTTCTTAAAGCAGTCTTTTTAGATATAATAGACTATTAAACTAGTTCTAGTATACTCTGTTAACAGATATTAGAATAGATAAGAATATAAGATATAAAAAATATAAAGAATTTTATCTAGAAATTATATATTTTTATAGAATTTATTCTATATAGATAAATATTTTTTAGAATTAAATTAAACTAATAATTTTTTAGCTTCTCTCTATTTCTAGGCCTAAATAATAGTATTTCACTATTTTTTAAAAATATAAATCTTTTCTTACTTAGTTAGATACTAAATAATTTTGCGGCCTTTAAAAAGATGTAGAAAATTAAGCTTAGAAGATAAAAAGAAAATAGAATAGATATTAATCTCTATCTAATTATTGCTATTAATAAAGATTTAGAAGATAAAGAAGAATAATATAATAATATTCTATAAATATAGATTAAGAGAGTAAAGTTAATATACTATAATAAATAGCAAAGCTTTATTAATAGCATAGATACTAGAAGATAGAAAAAAGAAATTTTTAGAAGATATAATATTAGTAAGTTAATAAAAAGAACGCGTTGCGTTACTACTAAAATATAATAAATCTAATAAAGATTAGTGGTAGTTAGAATAGAACCTATAATAATCTAGCTACTATTAGTATCTATTACTATAAAAATACTAAAAATAAGGAATATTTTATAAGAAATATAGTATTTCTATTAATAATAGAGATATAGATAAAGATACGATTACTCTAAATAATTAATATAATAGCTATAATAGAGATTATCTCTAAAATCTACTATTAATACTAGTAATAGAAAATAAAGTATATATTAATATATATTTCTATACTATATTTCTAAATAATACCAGCTTTTATAGAAAAATAAGAATTCTACTAGCTATACTAGAGTCTAAATATATTTATATAAAAATAATTTAAATAAAAGATATACTTATTTATTTTTAATATTTTTTTAAAAATTAAATAATACTTCTATTATAGATTTTTAGAAAATTAGTTAGAAATAGTAAGGTTAATATAGTTAACCTAACTAAAACCTTAACTAGACTAGGCTTAAATAGATAAGGTATATTGTTTTTAGCGCTAAGAACGGTTAATCAGATTAATTTAATTTTTTTTTTATACCGCGGTTAGGTAAAAATAAGATATTTAATCTTACTGTTAACCTGCGGTCAGGTTATGCTAGAGGTCCTTAACCTCCCCTTACCTAGCCATTGCCCACTCTATTTAAAAGTAAAGAAAGCAGTTTACTCTAGATAAACTATTTTTATTAATTTTTAAAGCTACTAAAAGTCTCTTTAGAAGATTTTAAAGGTCTTCAGCGGTTTATTATATATATCTAAAAAAGATTCTAATAAACTAAAGATCTACCGGATTCTTTAAAGATATAAAGACTAGAAGTAGCTCTTACTTCGAAGAGCAGGTAATTTCTACTTTTCTTTTAGACAGGGTTTAGAGGGTAGGAGCTCTCCCTAACCGTGGCCTACAGCTATTTACTAGGCTGCGAATCCACTTATACTTGCGTACCAATATCACAATAGATTAAAAAAGTTCTAGATCTTATAAGAAAACTATATTAAAAAAAAATATTTATCACTTCTATCTAACTAACAAAAAGCTACTAAAAATACTATTTTTTATTATAGTAAATCTAGATATTTTAGCTAATAAAACTATATTAATAAAAAGTAGGGTTAGCTTTGTATATAGTAATTATTTTTAGGCTAGATATTATATATATATATATTAGAAACTATTAGAATTTTTAATTAAGCTAACTGTTAAATATATAAAATAGCTAGTTATTCAATTTTCAATAGAATAGAATATATTATTAGTTAATTATTTATTAAGAATCTATATTATTCTTCTAATTAATTTTATTTAGAAATACTAGTAATATTATTTCTATTAAATTTATTAGTAACAAATTTCTTTAAGAAAATATATTTTTATTCTATATAATAGACTAATTAATTGTTTAGTTAGAAAATAGAAGAGTATAATACTTTCTGTTACTATATTAACTATTATTAGTAAGTAGTTTTTATAGTAAAAATAATTTTTCTTAACTACAGAGTTTAGCCCTAATTAGAAATTAGTAATTAAATATAATAATATATAGATAGTTAATCTATTTATTAAACAGGATTTTACTTATAAATCTAAGCTGAAATATCTAGATATCTGTTATGGGTTCTATAGGCCTAGTACAGACTATAGGTCCTATAGACTCTGTACAAACTATAAATTAGAGCTCGGCAAGGCCTCGCATATAAAGGCCCTAAGAAAAGCTTCCTTACAAACCCTCAGCCCTAGAAACTACAAGTTATTCTACTATTGTATACCGCCCTACTTCTCTCTATTTATTAATATCTAACTACTACTTAACTTCCTATTCTTTAGCTATTCTTTCTTATTTATATAGTACACTTAAATAAAAAAATTTATCTCTATGTATCCTATAATATTAGAAATAGCTTAATAAAATACTAGAACAGTAGAAGATAGCCTCTTACTACAATAATAGAAAAGAGAAATATAACTATATTTCAATAATAACTCTAAAAACTCTATACAGAGATATAAGTAGAGTGGGCAATGGCCAGGTGAGGGGAGGTTAAGGACCTCCAGCATAACCTGACCGCAGGTTAACGGTGAGGTTAAGTACCTTATTTTTACCTGACCGCGGTATAAAAAAAAGAGGTCAGGTTAACCTGATTAACCGTTCTTGGCGCTAAAAGCAATATACCTTGCCTATTTAGGCCTAGTCCGGTTAAGGTTCCGGTCAGGTTAACCGCATTAACCTCACTGTTTCTAACCAACCTTCTAAAAATCTATAATAGAAGCGTTATTTAATTTTTAAAAAAATATTAAAAATAAATAACTATATCTCTTATTCAAATTATCTTTATAAAAATACCTAGACTCTAGTGTGGCTGGTAGAATTCTCATTTTTCTATAAAAGCTGGTGTTACCCAGAGATACGGCATGGAAATATATATTGATACATACCTTGTTTCCTATTACCAGCATTAATAGTAGATTTTGGAGATAATCTCTATTGTAGCTATTATATTAATTATTTAGAGCAATAGTATCCTTATCTACATCTTTATTATTAACAGAAATGCTATATTTCTTATAAAATATTCCTTATTTCTAGTGTTCTTGTAGTAATAGACACTGATGGTAGCCAGATTATCACGGGTTCTATCCTAACTACCACTAACCTTTATTAGATCTATTATATTTTGGTAGTAACGCGACGCGTTCTCTTTGTCAACCTACCAACATCATGTCTTCTAAAAATTTCTCTTTTCTATCTTCCAGTGTCTATGCCATTAATGAAGCCTTGCTATTCATTATGGCACATCAATCCTACCCCTCCGATCTATGTTCACAGGATACTATTGCACCATCCTCTTTAATCTCCCAAGTCTTTACTAATGGCGATAATCAGACAGAGGTTAATACCTGTTCTATTTTCTCTCCACCCTCTGAGCTTGATTCTCTGCGTCTCTCTAAAGGCCGTAAAATTATTCAGTATCCGACTGAGCAAGAAAAGATTTATATCTTTGAAGAATGGTGGAATACTACTACCTAGGTCCAGAAACGGAGAGAAGCCAAAAAACCCAGTAGTTCGATTTAATCCTAAAAGACACTTATCTGTATGGGACAAATTCTATAAAGGCGTATAATTCCCGGACGGGACCCCCTATGTCTTTTGTGTCTTATGTTCTTATCTGCTCTAATATCCGTCAACAGAGCATACTGGGACTAGTTTAATGGCCTATTATGTCCGAAAAGGCTGCTCTAAGAAGTCGTCTTCTGTGCCTTCCAAACGAACAGTAGCTCAGATGCTAAGTGAAAAACCGGTAGGGTGTCTGTCCTTCTTCTATTTATCTTATACTAAGAGCTTCGATTTCTTAGGGCCCTATAACCATCTACACCGAACAAGAATTCCTTGACTAAGTCCTGCGATTTATCGTTGCCTGCCGTCTGCCTTTTCGAACTGTCGAGCATGTCTAATTTAAATGAATGATTAATCTCGCCGCTGTCGGATTATCTCGCAGACCGCATATTCCGAATCGAAAGCAAATCCAGGAACGATTAATCGAGTTATCGGATGAAATCCATATACAGCTACTCTCGCGGTTCCTGGCGACCGGCAGAATGTTAATTGCACTTGACTGTTGGACAAGCCCGGATTAGAAAGCATTTCTTGCACTTACTGGCTATTTTTTGACGGACGATCTTGATTATTATGAGATTATTCTAGGCTTCCGACCGGTATCCGGTTCTTATACAGGTGAAACCCTTGCTGCTATTGTTCTGTCGGTTCTTTATAAGCATAATCTATGCTATCGTCTACTAGGGGTGACAACCGACAACGCGAGCAACAACAGTACTATATTCTTCTCTCTTACAGAGCAACTTCGCGATAAACTTGATACGAATATCTAGATCTAGGATACTATCGCCGACCCGGAGCTTTCTAAAATCCTTCGGAATCAGCATCACATTCTATGTCTTGCTCATGTTATTTAACTCTGTGTTATCTTCTTTATGAATAAATTGCGGATTGCAGCGGAGAATGACACTGTCTCCTATATATGGGAGAACAGCGATGAAACGCTTAAAGCGTCTGGTAGTATTTCACGAGCTATTGAAAAGGTATGTACGCTAGCTGGCCGAGATTTCGGTTATGACCGAGAAGGTTGCTCAGATTTAGCTATCTAGGAGGATGCTGAGGAAGGCTTCCTTAGCTTCCTTTCGGTTATGACCGAAAAGGTTGCTTAGATCTAGCTATCTAGGGGGATGCTGAGGAAGCCTTCCTTAACCTCCTCCTAGATAGCTTAAACAAGTGTCCAGCATTTACTAATATCTATTATGTCCCTAGATTCGAAAAATCACTAAATTTGTGAACGCTAGCCCTTAACGTCGTGAAAGATTTTAACTTACTCAGCGTCTGGAATCTGGATCTGTATACTATCTGCTTCTTAACTGCAAAACCCGCTGGAACTCTTCCTACCTGATGATTCGACGCGCACTGAAGCTCCGCTAACTAATTGAGAGCTTTATCCAGCACTGAGATAGTTAGAAGCTTGACTACCTGCGGCCTACACTGGTAGAATGGAAATAGTTAGAATATCTTCTGGAGCTTCTATATCCGTTTTACATCTTTACGTCCTGTCTCTTGGAGAACACCGGCCCTACCGTCTATAGGGTATATGATATCTACAACGATCTGTTCGACTATCTGGATCTTGCCATTAATTGTCTTCGGAATAAACGAGCCTCGTGGAAACAACAGATTCTTGAAGGCTTAGAAGAAGCCTATAAGAAACTCCGGAAATACTATCGGCGAACATACTAGGCAGAGGGTTATATCTACGCTATTGCAACGATTCTTGATCCTACCTCTAAACTTGAGAAGTTTAAAATAGCTACGTGGCTTGACGATGACACTGATTGGTATTAAAAATATCGCACTGTTTTTGAGAAGGTGTTCCACTTTTACCGCAGTTAGAATCTAAGTGTTAATACGCTATCGACTGTTTCAGACCTATTATCTGGATTGAACAAGGCATTTTACTATCTCTCGAAACGACGAAGACTTGCTACTTTATTAGAGACCTTTGAGGAGCTTAAGGCCTATTTTGATATAGAAGGTAAGTCGTACTTTAAATAGATCTATACTCTGCTTACTGTTGATAAGGCACTACCGGTTAAACTGATATTCTTGCCTACTGGAAATCTCGTCGTAACTAGTTCCTGATTCTCTATTCTATGGCAAGAGACTTTCTTACGGTCGTAACTAACGGTGTTAGTGTCGAACGCCTCTTCAACAGCTCCCGAGATATCTGTTACTATCGCCGGAGTTGGTTATATCCCGATACTATTGAGGCGATTATGCTGTAGATGTGTACTGATCGCTTTACTATTAATGAGGAATATCAGCAGATTCTCGATGAGGTTGACCCCGACTCCATTGTCTTTGTATACAAGGAAGAAGACGATGATATAATTGAAGCGCCTTTGTATATTAGTGACAATGAGGATATGGATGATATGGATGAGGATCCGGAGGATGGATTGTTGTCAGAACCTACGTATACTACCCGGACTGTTGAAGAGACACGATCCCTTCGATATTATTAACAACGCCCGGGACAGTATAAAGAATAGAGAGTAGATAATAGATATTTTTTTTTAACGTGTCCTCGAAGCAGAATATTTCGATTAGTTTATTCTAAGTAGTAAATTACATTTACGGGATCACAAGAGTATTAATACCGAAATAAAAAAATACAGTAAATTATGAAGGTAATTAAGATGTATTAATTACCGTTTAACCTGCGGTTAGTACCCTTACCGGATTAATCTCCCCTACCTTACTGGCCAGTTAATCCGGTGAGGTATAACCTTTGATCTTAACCTAACCGTATCTCTCCGGTTATCAGATTCTTTATACCTTAACCTAACCTGGCCGGTTATAGTCAGGTTATGGTGAGGTACAACGGTGAGGTTAACCCACTCTAGATATAAGTCTAAAAATAATAGTATTAAAAGAAGAATAATAGCTTTTAAACCGAATTACACGCTATATAGAATTAATAGCCGAATATATATACTATAACTATAACTACTATAATATCTCTAATACTAAAAATAATAAGCTTTAGTCGACCTTAGCCGCGCTATCTAAATATTAAATTTTTTAATAAGGAAAACTTAAAAAATTATCCTCCTAAATAAACCTTTATATAAAATTTGTAATTAACACTATATACTATAGTATAGAAAAAAAATAAATCTATTATGTCTATAGCTGTCTTTAAAATAAGACTAGCTAGCGTATTCTTCCTTAGCTATAGGTCTATTAAAAATTAAAAATAACTGTAGAGTAAAGAGAATTCGCTATAGTATTAGACAAAGCTTTTAACAACCCTAACTAATAGAAAAAAGCTTTTATATAAATTAATACTATAAAGCAAAAGAAATACAACCTAAAAAAATTTCTAAATAAATTTAATAAAGTATTACTTAGCATAAAGAGAATTAGCTAAAATAATTTTTAAAAAAAACTTTCTTAGATACTATAATTAATTAGCAGCTTCTTAAAGAAATAATTAGTATTCCCTAGGCAAATATATATAAAGCCTATTATAACTAACTATAATATATAAACCACAATATCTAGTAAATAGAAAGACTAAATAAGAGATAAGCTTATATAATAATTATAGTAAAAGAAACTTTTACTAAAAGAAAATTAATAAGTTCTCTATAGCCGGCTTATTCTAACCCTATAAAATAGAAATTAATTATAATCTAAATTATAGCTCTACATAAAGAGATTAAAAGTTTAAAATTAACTAATTATATAAAGCTATCTAAATAGATAGTATAAATTAGTATAGAAAAACGCGATAAAAAAAAGTAAAAAAAAAAATTTAATATAGAGAAAAAGATTACTATATATAAAACTGCTGTTTATTACTATCGCTATTTTCTAAATAAATAGCTAATATTTAAAAAGTAACTTTCCTTAACAGTAATTAAAGATTAAAATTAAAAAACTTAGAAAAAGAGTAACCCTTATATAAAATTACATATAAAAAAATAGAAAAAAAATAATTAAAATAATTAAATTTTTTTAACTTTCTTTAACTTTATATAGAAAATTTTTAGAAAATTTCTAAAGAAGCCTTCTTTAAAAGCCTCTAAATTTCCCTTTTTTTATTATACATTTATTTATAGATTAGATTATTTTAGTATATATAATAATAGATATAGACTATTTAATCTATAGCGCTATCAGCAGAATATTTATAAAAATCTATTAAATATCTATAATTATAATTACTTTATAAATAGTAAAAGAGATAGTAAATAAGCTAAGTACTTTTATATAGATTATATAAATATAATTAAATATTAAAACCTATTTAGAAGCAGGCGCGTATCTATATATATTATCTAACTAACTTAGCTATAATATAATTTTAAGAATACCCTAGCTATAATATTATAAAAATTAGCTTAATACTAAATATAGAAAGTTATATCTTTATATAATATACTCCTACTTATAAAACAAAATTAAAAAATCTATAATCTTATTAGACTTATATAAAGTCTCGATAAAAGCTATATAAATATATATATACTAGGCTAAAAGAAATCTCTAAACTATATAAGTCTTCTCTGTTTTAATAGCAGATATCTAGAAAGTTTTAAAAATAAAGAAACTAGTAAATCTATAAAAGAAGCTACTACTATAATACTACTAGTATTTTAATCTATTTAATCTAAATAAAGCTTAAAATCTTTCTTTTTATTAAAACCCTAAAATTAACTACTCCATTAAACTTATATAAAAAAATAAGAAAAACCCGGAGATTCTCTAAAGACTACTATACTTAATATTCTATAAAAAGTTAGTCGTATTATAAAAGGAGCTAACTAATCTACTATAAAAAAGCTTTATTAGAATTAGCTACTTCTCCGCTACCGCGCTAATTTTATTTATACAGAAATTCGGAGATAGTCTCTAGTTCTATATAGACTACCAGGCTTTAAATATAAATACTAAAAAAAACTGTTACCCTCTTTCTCTTATTAACAAAATATTAAACTAAATTAGTTAAACTAAATAGTTTACTAAATTTATTACCGCCGCTTTCTATAAAATTTAAATTACTAAAAAATAAAAATAAATAATTGTGTTTTATACACAGTATAGCCTTTATAAATAACTAATTTTTTTTTTAAATTAGTAAACACCCCCTTAACCTTCTAGAAATATATTAACTAAATATTATATAAGTATTTAGATAAATTCTACTCTATATATCTTAACAATATTCTAATCTACACTAATAAAGATTTTAACTAATATTAAAACTATATATAAAAGATTCTAAAGAAACTTTAGAAAACAGGCCTCTACTTAAATATTAAAAAATATAAATTTAAAGTTAGAGAAACTAAATATCTAAAATTTATTATTTAGACCGGGTAAAGAGTTAAGATAAATCTAAAAAAAATTAAAACTATTTAAAACTAGAAACTATCTATTACTAGTAAAAATATATAAAAATTTTTTAGTTTTATAAATTCTACTAGCACTCTATTG